TTTGAGATTATTGGACGGCTTCGTCCACTCGAGTCATTGTATTTAATAACCTAACCTTCGTGTAGAGGTGTAGATTCCACGGCGACTGAATACAAGGAAGTCGTCTTCGTGATTGATTGCAGAGACAGTCTCCGACACTTTGGATACTAAATCCACTCTCACTGGCCCTAGAAGACTTCATTGCAATTCGACCTCCTGAGTTGTACGCCAACGTTTGAGAAACATGATATTTCTGAAGACAAAAACAGAGGTTGAAAGCGTTCTAAAGGACGATCTGAGATAATGTTGTGCTTAAAGCAGATGCTTCGAGGAGTGACGGAGAAAAATACATCAGGAGGTTAAATCACGCATCTTCACGAACCTGGACTGACAGCTCTGGCCAGGGGAAACATGGAGACGATGTTATAACGCTGGTTTGGAAAAGTGATGGACAGAGCCTACTTTGTAGACGAAATTGTAAATCGGAGGGCATTAATAAGATGGCTGTTTGGAATTCGATTTCGAGGGCGCGCAAGGATTGGCTTGAGGTGGCTACGGTTGCTATTACTCGTAATGACGTCACGAGCCTTGCACCTTTATTTATGGGGTCTGCGTACAGCTGAATGGCTTGGGCCAACAACTTGTCGGTGACAGCTGAGTAAATGCAAGGTCACTGTTGATCGTTGCTACGTGCACAGAAAGATTTGTTAATTTCGGCTGGTTTGTCACACAACAAATTTTTAAGTTGAATGCTAAAAATAGATATATTATTTATGATCCAATAACATTTTATTGTATCGGAAATTGAACAAAATGGTAACGAGTTTCGCGGCCCTGTTCACTGTAGCATCATCCCGCCCTTGTAAAGGGCTGTTCACGTGACTGTAGAGATACCTGTTTTGACAATTTTTGCAAACAACGCCGTTTGCGGTCCTCGCAGTGTGTGAGAGTATTGAGTATCAGAATATGGCGACTTCGGTTTTTCATACAAACGCCTTAAGTGTCTGCATATGCTGGCCCGCTTTACGAAGTTGTCGGAGAAGTTGCCGACGTAGCACGGCATTGCCGTAGCGCGTATCAGTAGGACCTGATTAAAATTTGAACTTTAATAGTTCCTTGAATGTAAATGGTAATTATATGTACCGCCTACTTTGGCAATCAGTAACTCTGAATTTTTCTCACAGAATGTAGCTTGTTTATGGGTCCGTGTAATTATCGGAATAATCAGCGGTTATTTTCCTAAACAGCATTAACAATTGGCGTGGTAAGGAGACGCGATGTTTTATATGAGGTAAGAACTGAATTTGTAAATGTTGTGTAGAATGCATTCGTAAGGTCCAGATTTTCCGTGGTTTTCCCCAGTCCTAGAGTATATGCTGGGTTGGTACCCGTGTTCCATGTTTCACAGTCTCAGTGCAACTGTCAAAATTACACCCCACTACAGCGAACTCAGATTTTCGTGGGACAATGGCGGAACTGTTCCCTGCGTTTCGACCGAATTTCAGGCTTCAGTCTTCGTTGTGTCGAACACTGCTAAATATTGTTCTTCTGTCTTGAAATTAAACCATTGTAGGACCGGTGCAGTCACACGAAACAGTTAACTGCTGAATGTTTAACATGAAAATTTTTGGGGAAGAGGGAGTATGTTTTTTCCCAATGCATTGCCTCCTTATTTTAAAAAAATCTTATTCGCAGAGATGGATCCAGGTGTCATTTCCGGTCACTACTCGATTCAGAAAACTTTATCGCCATTTTGATACCATCAGCACAGATTATTTCTACAGACTTCTAAGTGCATATTATTATTCCCCTCTCCGAGTCGCTTGCTGGCTCATCTGGTGCGCCTTTCAGTGGCGTCCCAGCTGATTATCAACCGTAACCGGTGTCCGTTTTAGATGCAGTTCCATTAACCGTTAGAAGACGAAGACGACGAGAAAGCGGGAGACAGTGGTGAGAGAGAGACGACGTTTAATGGGGGAACACCGGATTAGTCCGGCGGTTGCTTCCGTCCGCATTCTCTTCAATTAATTATTCAGTAGTCATTGCATCATTAAACGATACATAACGCAGACTGTTAGAATGGTTGCAGAATAAACCGGGAATGAAATTTATTTCTGTTCGGGATGTTTTGGTCTGGTTCCCGAAAGAAGGAACAACCTATGAAATTAATGGCTGTCACTGTGTCTGAGCGTCTGCTCTAATAAATTCTGAATAACATTTACAGATCTTGCTGATTTAATGACGTTTGCTCCGGTAACAAATGTTTTATTACCCTAAGCGGTTTTGTAGGCCGTATCTTAAAAATCTGAGTCAACGAAAAGTATGTAGTCGTTTTGTCTAGGAGTGCACTCATCAGAGCAGTCATATCTTTTTCGTGAAGTTTCTTTCGCTGATAAATTACAAAAATTTGTCTTGATTTCCAGTTGAATATATTCATACAGTGGGACATTTAGTGACGTCACAAAGCTTTGAGATCGCCTCTCTGACGCCTCTGTTAACTTTCCTTGCAAACAACTTTGAATTTCGTGCCATTTGCGAAAGAAGTTTGTGTCTTGTTTCGGAAACCTCTGCGTTTCGAATCGCAATGCAGACTAGTACGTTTGCATATTAAGCACTAATTAAAGCGTTCCACGCTGGCGTTAGTGTTAAATTTCCCCTCATTTTGATCCCTGTAATCGATTTACAAGCAATTTCCTCATGATTCCATACCAATTTTCACAAACAGGCCGCCATTACCAGTTGGTCTGTGATCCGTGCGTGTTACAATAATTGTCCAAGCATTTCCTGGTACCTCGTATTGCGATACCAATATTCCAATTACTGGTACATGCCTCTGTAGCGAGGGTTTGCTGGCTTTTAAACATTCTGCGCGAGTTTTTAAGTGTTGAATCGTACGAACATGCGTTGGATTGCAGTTGAAAATGAATGGCCCCGTTCTTCTTTTCTTAAAACTGGTTAATCCTTCAAAGCCTGGTGGTAACTGTACGCATCATCTGGTTTAATAACCAGTAACCCTGCGTTTTCCCATGAAATGTGTCTCGTGAGCAAACTTTTCTTTTCAAGGCTACACATGAAGCGGTCTCCTTTGCTGTTAATTTAAAAATTGGATCCTACGAACGTTTAAAAAATGTAGACGTCGGCCCTGAAGATAGAGACGGCATGTTTATCCGAAATGCTAGTGTCTACCTGCGAGTCTACACGGCGTCAGAACCCAGATCAGTAACATCGTCGAATGTTCACGTACTGCCATCTTACAGAATTGCAGACACTTGTTATGATTTTTATTCATAACATTGAAAATGCCTTTCACATCCATCTTTCTATCACATGTATTTGGAATAGGTCCTATATTTTTAATCTTTAATTTTTAATAATGGCCTCCAATAGAAGCGCATGGAAAGGGGAGAATATATTATCTGAATTCTGTGGATAAAATTGTTGATACTGCACATGGAGACTGGAGTCTATCACGTGCTGATATCGAGTACGGGCTTGGCTTAGCCAAACAAACTGCACCTGACAGTAAGCTACTCTATTACAGTGTTTTGGTGACGGAAGACTCAAGACCAGTTGAAAACTCAGCCTGTAAATTCAGGACTTGAGCTCTGAACGTAGAGACAGCATGTTCCATCCAAACGTTACAGTCCAGAACAGCCTCGTCTACAACCTCTGAGGTTGTTTTGAACGGCACACAGTGTTTGTAGCTGTGTGCAGGTGTGAATCTATCTTGAGCTCTGAACGTAGAGACAGCATGTTCCATCCAAACGTTACAGTCCAGAACAGCCTCGTCTACAACCTCTGAGGTTGTTTTGAACGGCACACAGTGTTTGTAGCTGTGTGCAGGTGTGAATCTATAATCTTAATTAAGCTAATACCATTGCATTAAGATAAAAACGCTTCTGAAAATTCGATCCGTATGCGTAGCGCAAGAATGCACTTCGTTTCCACGGCCTTGAAGGCATCAGAAAGTTGATAGCACGTACACAGTTCGCTTGAACTCGTGCATTTACTAATGGCCAAAACACCAATATTTGGAAGAACAATTTGTTTGAACCTTTGTACACCGGTGACGGAGGAAACTTAAGAAGTCTCTGGCACGTCCAAGGACACGGGAAACTCGATCGATCATTTCATATTCCAGTTTCCTCTGAGGAGTTATTACCACAGAGTCGCTAATCATAAAATTCCTAGGGCATTACAAATGAATAAACATGTGGTCATTGGTACTGTCGTCACCAGCAATGGAGGTTTTTCTCATGTTATTGTCCTGATTTTATTCTCTTTTACGGTACAGCCACCTTAAGATGTCGAGCCGTTTGCTATGAACGCCCTCCTTAAGTGTGTGAGAGTGACAACAACACAGTATCAGGTCCCGTTACTCCAGGAGTGAATGATACACGATGTTGCAACTCCTCTGACTATGCTGAGGTTGTAATGATGGTTGCTCTTACACAGTTTTCTTCTGTTTCTTCAGATAAATTAATTGGTTTAAACTGCGGGTCCCCCCCCATACTGCCTATTAACAGCTGTTCATCGTCCCAGTTTATCAGTCGACATGACACTCCTCTGTAGTTATTGAAAACTTTGTTTTCATTAAAGTGATGCCTCGTCACTCGCGTTACTGTTTTAAAGGGATCACGTGACACGCTGGTTTCGTCTTACGTTTCCCACATCTCCCAAGTTTCGTAGGAACATTTTGTCTCCATCTTCAGAGTCTATAGCGCGCCACAATTCAGAACAGTTTCATTGCCAAGATTTTCAACCCAGCAATGCCGATGCTGCAACATTGTAATTGTTGAAGCAAGTGTTAATTTTACAGGAAAGTACTCTTCGGGTACGCACGCGTGAGCATTCGTGTATTTTCGTTACAATTCGGAACTGTCGTGTGTTTGTGCGCTGTGCCAGCATTTCCTCTGTACTCGTATCGCCCTCGGTTGCCTCCAGCTCGACACCCCTTCCCCCTTCCCCCTCCACCCGTAGCCATGCCTCAAACCCGGCGTGCCATGCCATTTCCCGCGTCCCTCGCTCTGAATCCTCAGTGTATAGCCTCGCTTCGTTCGTGTAGGTAGACTTTGCTTCGGAGCGGCACGGGTCTTCAGTAATACATCCTCTTTTGTTTTTCTAGAAAGTGAGTCTTGTATAAGGCGCTGTTAGAAAATACCAGCGGGCTTTTCAAAATTCAAAATGGCCGCGGGATCAACCGAAACGTTTGCTTCAGCATCTCAAGCATTGGATTGTTTCAATGCCAGCTTACTGAAGCAAGGTAAATTCTGGACAGCAGAGGTATTGGCCACAGCATCAACCGGCAGTTTTTGGGATGACGATCCAGAAGAAGTTGCGAAGAAAAAGGTGAACGAATTGAAGCGAAAATTCCACAGTGGCCGGCAACTTCAAATCAAACACTTGCCGCGTGACGTAACGGAAGAGGTAAGTGTTCATATTTGTTGCTGGAAGTGTTAACGGCCTGATCATGTGTGGACGAATGAAAGTTTGAAGTCGGCCATGAAAACGCGTGCAATTTATGTCTCTTTTCGCTGTTGTAAGTGACCTTGAGGGCAGTCCTACGTTACGAATCAACTCAGGTTTCCTGCAACGAGTTCGTACGTTGACCTTCGTTTCGAATGCTCACAGGCGTGGCTACAATGTGAGAGTGCACGGGACGTTGATATTTTGAATTTTGTTGGACGGGAAACCATTCACGAACTTGACATTGAACCATTTCGTATTGCGGTTTACCCTGACAGAATGATTACCAGGATAATGACGACGGTTAATGACTCATATGTTGGTACACGTGGCTAGGGGTTAACAGACTTGTGTAACTCGATACAGCACTTTGCTTTGTTAACAAGTTGAACTGGAAACAAGGATTTTTCATAGTCCGTGACATTCGGCGTTAAATTAAGAAAAAGCCTGGTGTAAATTTAGAGTTCGCAGTTAGCGTCGTTTATAATTCACGTAACAATGCCTAGACCGGGAATGTACGCGCAATTCGAGGCCTAGTAAAAATGATGTGGCATCACTGTTTCAGTTTGGTTTATGTACCAGCTTCGTCTAATACATTTTGTAATGTTAAGAACATCGCATTGTTTGGACGGCGAGGCCTGAAATACAATGGTCTAGTGACAAAGTCAAATGAATGTCGTTCTTTGTACGAGCGAGATGCAATAACTGTTTGCGACTCCATTTCAGAGGAGCCGGGTATGTTCTTATGTAATTAAAACCACTCCCATTTCTACGCATGCGCGCATGGGCCATTGGTTTGTGTGTAAAGTATATCGTGAAAGACTTTGAATATTTGTTTGATACCAAATTTTCGTAACGTTGTCGTGTTTCAAAACTCCCGTCATCACGACAATTGCTTAATTGGATTTTGACGGAGTTGTGAACTACATGAATATTTTTCAGTTCGCGTTAGTTTTAAATATACGCTGGGACAGTCGACACAAACTTTTACTTTGATGAAGTGTAGTCGTCTTTCACGATAGGTAAGCACCACGTCGCCTCTGCAACCGGACCCGGGTGTCCCGCGTTTGACTGTTTCTCAGTAGATTGGTTTTCGTCAGTCAGTCCCCTGCTGGTAATACTGGTAGAGCACCGTACTTGGCTGCGTACTAATCTAATCTAGTCTATTTAGAGTACCCATATCAATAAATTAAAGTAACTCCAAAATAAATGCTTTAAATCTATTACGAAATTTTGGCTGCATAGAGTTTAGGCCAGGTTTTCTAAACCTCTTGCAAACTTGGGGCCGCAATTACCACTTCTTATTGGCTCGCGGGCTACAAAGTTATACACGAGAACAGTTTATTACAACTTTGATGCAGTTCTTTAAAAAGTGATTTTTATTTCCAGTTGTAAACTCATTTTCTTCAATAAACTCAGTCATTGGTGAGATTAGTAACTGTTTATATCTCTACAGGGTGGTACAGTTTTTCAAAAGAAAAGTTAGCGGGTTTCGCTCGTGGATGTTATCTGTGGACGACGGGCTAGTCCAAATGGATGTTGTGTCTGTTGTCCAGCGTAAAACAGTTTTATTCTCAGTGGCTAAAATATCGTGGCCTATTTATTTATCGTTTTTCCTGTTCAAATGAGCTCTACAGTTCAGGGGTTGTTGGCGACTTCAAGTGAACAGTTGGAGGTGATCAGATGTTACCTCGTGAATTTCTTGTGACTGTGGAGATCTGAGGAGGTTCTCAAGGCGGTTAGGGTGTCGATCGCGAACTTCTGGGCTGTGACGCCGTGCAGTGTTGTAGTTTGTTGCCAGCGGGCTCGAAAGAAAGCCTCGCCCTCTCTTCAGACATTGGCGACAGTCTCAACTTGTTTGAACTATTCATTTTTTCACTTCAGCCCTGCGTTTTGATCTAAGAAATCAGCGCATGAAGAGAAATATTCGTTGTTGAATGAGGCATTTTGAGATCGTGTGTCGTTCTGTCTGAGCGTCGGTTGTGAGGTAAGGAAAATGAACATAAGTGGAAAGCTGTCAGCGCGTCTGATACGAAAATGAAGTGCAGTCTTGTAATGAAATTGTGCCTCTAATTAGGTATCATTACACTATCCCTCACAGCCGCACTTGCGTTAATACCGGAGTAAAGTTGTTTGAGAGGGAAACCTACCCCGGAGTCGATGCGAATTATTGACCGGAGCCTGCTAAATGGATTGTCTGTCTTGTGTGTTTGTAGAACCTTTCTTCCAAAGTGCAGTATGGCAGTGTGTCATGTTTGTGTCCGAGGCACGAATAATATTGGGTAGCATAAGATATTCTAAATGCGGAGAAATTGTCAGTCGTGTTTAACACGAAATGTCACTGATATGGTGGGAAGTTGTGGACTGGAGTTACGAGGCTGCGTCCGTATTTTTGGCTCCTCCCTCGCACCCCGTTCGGCCACAACCGGTTTTCGTAAATCCGGTCTAGTGTTACCCTTCGTTTCTCCCTCCGGGTTATTCAACCAAAGGCCCCGCTGCGCGTCTCATTCTTGTTCTTTGAAGAGAAAATATTACAAAGATGGCTGTCTTCTGGTTTGTGCGTCGTGTGGTCTGGTAGAAGTTGTTGGAGGTAGCAAGCACCTCTAAACGTCGGTAAACGTCTACCAGACAGCAACCCACAAGACTGCCATCTACATAGTCGCCGTGAGAACCTGAAATATCTCCTTCTCGCCTTCCTCTGTTAGATTCTTTCCTTCATTTAGGTTGCGCGTTTTATGATTATTTATATGATTTATGCTGTGCGCGTTCATTTTAATACTGGTCAATATTTCAGAACTTATTTCTTGAGTTTTACCAGAAGCAACTGTTCGTATTGTGTGGGTTAAGAAAGTCTTAGTGTCTCCAGACGCATAACATAAATTTCCACATACGCGTCTGTTCCCGTGTCTTCTGTCAAAAAGGGGGTGGCTGTAAAATACACAGACGTACACGATCGGCTTTGTGAGCTGAAGAAGTTTCGATGAAGGAGCTTTTGTATCTCTCACAGGCAGACTCCCTTTATGTAGACAGACGCACGTGTTTCGTAAATCAAAACCGTGATGCGTATTAAAAATGTTGAACCGGAAACTTTACTAAAACCAAGCAGTAACTATGTTGCCAGTTTGTGCGCCGCGATTTATTCATGGCTTAGTTACGGTTAATGGACGTTTCGGTTCACGCTGCATGTAAGGGCTTTCATTGAACGTGAGTAATTTAGTCTAGTGTTCCCTTGCGAATTGACTAATTTTAATAGTTTGTGATTCCTGAGAGGTTCCCATAACTGGAACTATTGAACTAAGAGATTTTGTTCCCGGTGACAGCTGTTTTTTTGTTCAGTAAGCTTAGCAAATTAAGTTTCGGGGGACACTTTTGAGAATATGTCAGGTGCAGGCCAGTTTTGTGCTCTCGTTTCTTATTTCTGACATTTCATGCAGTTTATGACTGACACCATCTTAGGTGATAATAGATTATTAATTTAATATAGTTCAGTATTACTCTTTGATAAGTTCTCGGTCCAAGAACTGCAGTTGAGTGCATTTTAGGGTGTCAATGTGTGCCCGTAACTCATCTACGAAGTCCGTTGCAGGCCTTTGTAAACATTGTAATGTTGATATCAGTTTTTGGCGCCGTGTAGAGTCTGTGGCTGAAGATGGAGACAGTATGTTCTTCCTAAACAGGTAGTTTTTGTGGATTGATATTCTTCGCGAAGTTTAAATATGGTTTGGTTTAGTAGTCTGAAGGTTGGCGGAAGACATAATGACAGCGAAAATAAACACTCGTTTGTTCGTGCTGTGTAACCAGTAGTCGGCTGTCCCAATAACACGAATAAAAGCCACGGTGATATATCGCAGTTCGTGAAGACTTTGATGTGTGCCAATAGACAAATCAGTTGAAGGCTGATGGGCTCAGGGTCAGGCGATTGCCGTTCAAAAAGAAAAAAAAAATACGTTTCTCGTTGAATGAGAATCGAGTGTGGGCTTCGCGTACAACTCTGCATGCCTGATGCGTCACAAAGAATGTAGCCATATTAGAACTTGCAATTTTTTGATTTCGGAGGCAGTGTGAGTCAAGAACCAAGTTTTAATTTTGTGTTTCAGCGTAGGGAACATTCCTTTTTGAGCAGCTGATTGTTGCTTATGTAATTGCCCACATTTTCCCAAACTCGAAGGTTTATTGCCGTCATCGCAGTTGCACCTGATGCTGGGCTGATTCTCTCTCCCCTTGACTTAATCGCCGTAGTATATTTTTTTCTGAGGGCATCGTTTTTCTTCTCGAACCTTCTGAAGGATAGTCTCTTGTACTTTAATGTACGAATTTCTGAACTGTCCCCAGCTTAATGTGCTTTTAATTTGTTTCTGTCATTCAAATATCTTGACGTTGTCACATTTTCTAAGCATTCGTAATCTTGATGTTGTAATTTTGTCCTGCATTTGGTGAAGAGGACCTGTACTTTCTTCCCGAGTGTTTATTTTCTCGATCAAGCCGTCTTACTAGCGCCTAATAGAGCTTCTGTGCTTTTCTATACAACATCGAATACATGAGCAGACGAGAAGCTGATGTGTGCGGTTCAGGTCCGACCTCTCTTTCTTTCCTTTGGACCTTCGTAATGACGTATTTTAAAGCAAAATTTTCCGAACATGTCCTTGTCTTAAACCATCCTGAAAAGTAGATACATCAGACAGATGTTTACCTTACAAACTTTGCTGTAGGTTTTCAACCGAACACAAGAGTAGCATCTGTCTGTAGGATACAGAGGATTGGTAGATGGGTAGATGCATGAGTGGAGAGAGAAGCTTGGCTTCGTAGAGGGTTCCGTATTTCAAAGAAACAGACTCTGCTCTAGCCTTATCTTCCCCTTATTCCAGAGGTCCCTCAACCCTCAAACGGGTGTTGTGACTGCTGTTTTTTTTTTCATTTCCCCCTCTCTGCTCCCTTCCTCCTCCCCTCCAGGGGTGTACACC